CATTTGGGAAAACAACTACCTTACTAATTCACTTATAACCTCTGCTTACTTATGAGAAAGTGCAAAGTGAACTACATTTCACATCAAAACTGATAGACTGATGGTTGTTAACCCATTGACTAAATGGTATTATGCTCATCTGACAGCTTGATATTCATTTGTTCGAATTGTGGTGGTGAAAATCCCTAAAGGTAAAACGCTGCTTGATTATCGATAACTACCCAATCGATGTAAGTTCACAACAATATCTGCAATGATATATCAGTGAGACTATTGACCACAGTATACAATTAAACTAATCAGTTTTGAACAGTGCTAGACAATTATACTGCCGAAAATGTTTAAGTGAATACTTTAAGCTTTATCATTATTATTATTACTGTCACCTTAAAATGTTATTGTACTTCCTGAATACTAATAAATATCAGTGATGCTAGCTGATCTACAATCTAGATACTAAATATTATTATCCACTGACTGATACCTAAGAATTAACATCAATCGAATGAATATGTTCACATTTTCACATTTCACTAGACTAATGATCATGAAATACAGGTGTGTTAAGGAATATTTGACAGCTGGGAAACTTTGTGGATAGAAAGCGGAAGTAAAACATTTCACACTAAAAAAATACCAGTCCTAGTTAACCTGAAATCACTTTGTAACCATATACGAACTAGTTTTTGTATACACATAGTCACAAATACGTCACGTGGAAAACTGTCGCTCCTTAAGAAACACCTGTGTAGACTCCGACCAGGTAATAGTTCTTGTGCGCATGTGAAACGGACAGCTACAAAACCGCTTCGTACCAACTTCCGGATGAGAATGCAGAGCCTTCATTTAGAGAAGAAATAACTAAACGTACACATGAGGTTGACAGCAATACCTATCCTTAGGAAACCTGGCATCATGCTCAGTCAGCTACAGAAATCGTGATAAAAACTATTGGTGATCTGAAACCAAAGGTTGACAGACGCCAGTGTAGTTCATCTGAGCTGATTTAAGCAAGAAGACTGATTACGCAAGGTCCAGTACATGACAAGGAGAGTAGAAGACTCAGATGTACGCTAAGAGACTTCTCAAAGATTGTGAACAGTTATGGGCAACAAAAGTGAAAGAGAACGCAAATCATCAGAGATTGATAATACCGGTAGCATGAGGGAAACGGATTGTAAAGAGGATGGTGTTTTAATTGCTTATTAGGAAACACGGTGAGAACAACGGAAAACACACTTTGAGTGGCGATTCGACTCACCTGGAGACACGCTAAAGTTGCCCAGTATCCAACTCTTAGGTGAATGCGATGCAGACATCGGTCACCCATCTGCAGCTAGGGTTGTAAAAGCTATCCCTAAACTTAAAAGTGACCAAGACACAGAACTTGGTGGCATAAGTCCAGAGTGTTTAAGAGAGGGTGGATTACTGACTATATTAGGTAAAATAACCGTTAATGATTAGCAATCTGAGGTAGTCCCCTTAGACTGGTGTAATCATCCATTGTTTTGGTTTAAAAGAGACACATCTTTCGGTGATAATCACAGAAGGGTCAGATTGACTAACACAGTACTTAAAATTCCAGATTCCACAATCCTGTACATTTCTACTTTCTACCTTTGTGAGATTATAGAGTCTGACAACTTGAACTGCTGTCTTTAGACATTTAGCTCTAGGAAATGAATGATAATTTCAAAACTTACAGCAAAATTTGATGAGAATAAAAAATGCAGTTCAATTACCAGATGCGATTAAATTCGCAGAATATTTCTTAGCTACCAAAGGTGTTTTCCTTAGATGACAAAACGCTAGGGTGCTCTTCACGAATAAATTATCGCATGTTTTACAAAAAATGTGGGGCACGACAGATTTCTATTTTGGAAGCAAATGATAACTACCCCATAATCTGGTAACTGTTATACTCATTAGGTAGGCCTTATTAAGGACAGAAACAATGTTGGTCTAATTCCATACTGATGGGATAACCTTAATTTGCTATACGTTCCAATTACATCCCTGACTACTGAGACTAATATCTTTAAGAGACGAAGGTAACTTTTCTGGATGCAGGGTGTCTCGAAGCACTTCACAACTTGGAGTTTCTTTCTAACCTACACATATTTAGGTGGTTCGGTGTCAATCAGTTATGAACTACTGTAATCTATAGTAATGAATATTGGCTCTGTGATACACCTAAACTATTTCTAAAGTGCCCTAACTATAATTTCAGGAGCCTTCTTAGGTGAGTCTATATACCATCCTTTTTAAAAACTCACACTGACACCAAGCATATTGGTGCTGATGACTCAGATGAAGTAGAATAGCTTCAGACTACTGGCGAAACGCAACTGCTGATTTCATCTCATACGCTTGTTCTGAATGCCAGGCACAAAGGTCCTTAACGTAAGCACTGTGTGACACTTAATGTGTAAAATCTTACATAAACCCAGTATTTATCAGTGGGATTTTCGTTTAGGATACAGCAAACTTTAACTTATGGAGTTTTATAAGTGCAAGCAATGCTCGTCTATTCTTTTCGAAGTATTGCTAGATAGACTTGAAACTAGTACGATTTGATATTTGGCTGAGGCAGAAGGTACTTACATCTACCTGCTAAGGAGATTCACCATCACTACCAAATCACAGGTTAAACTTGGCAAGAATCAAAACGCACAGTTTCTTCAGAAGGAATGGTGGTTCTTTTGTGGCCACGCGGTTCGTCTATGGGAACTATTTGAGCTGAGGCAACAGTTGCAGGAGAAAGCTGGGTAACAACACGACAATGGTGCTAGAGAGAAATAGGTTTTTAGACTTGAGCGAAGCCACAGAAGACGGCCCCATTTTCCGACCTGCAACCATTCACTCCACAGTGACCATCTAAACGACTTTTTCTGAGCATTCAAATACTTATCTAGTACCGCGATATCTGTCGAACGCGCCTACATGAAAAACTCACTCAGTCTATGTTGAAGTTTTATTCAGACTGCGATCAGTCTGTGCATAAGTGGAGAAGAATAGGCTTCACATTTATGACCAATGGGTTCTTACTTTAGTTAAATCTTGCGCATAAACAGATGTGAATGGTATTCAACCGAGTAGTGCAACCTCGGACCTAGTTCTAAGTGTCCAACCGACAGCAGCAAAGATGAAAGCCGACAGCACAGCGTCACAAGATAAGAGACCATGAAACGTACTGTTTGAGCTGGCAGGCAGAGAAGTTACTCAAAGTACTTATATAGTGTCTTTTATGCGGGGAACGGTAACGAAGCATGTATAAACAATGAGGCCTTCCAGGGTTCTAATCAAACTAGCCTGTTGTTCAATTGGCTGCAATGTGTGTCGTAGTTTACAGGCTAGGAAACGACACGTCATACGAAATTAACCGCGCCGCCCATTTAACTATAGACCAGCTTTCTGGAAGTAATTAATTGGCGACTCAAAAGCACTATAAGTGTAGAGATGATTAAAAAAGAGATGAGAATAAGAACAGGAACGCAATAATAGTAGACGTAAGATGATTGATGAAACCGTAAGTAGAGTAACTTGCAGTGCGTACAGGTGCGTTTGATGTGTCCCTTGATATTTTGTGTGAGGACTAGGATGCTGACCGAGACCTTCAATTTAAAATCTGATCCACAAGGCAGAGGAGAAATGTCAGGAGCTTCATTTGAATGACTGCCCGCGATCGTTTCCTACGAATCCTGGAGCTTATGTGCACTATAGGTTTTGAATCACCGCTTCCTAACCTCTCAAGATGAATCATCCATATCCACTTGTCCGGAGGTAGAAGTCGAACGCTCGCATTCACTCACATTCATTTTCATAAGAGTATCCCAAGGTGCACATATAGAACATACGTGGGGTGTCTGGACGCGTGGCCATATGAGAGCAGTTAGAGGGTTCACACACACACTTGGAACACAAACTAGTACACAATGGCTAAGTTGAACCAACTAAATAATCCATAATACTTGTTTTTAGAATGGCCTTACGTCTTATAGATTTTTTTGTGTATCACGCTATGAGCCACATTTATTGAGTGGAGGGCTGATGATACTACCCGAACTGTAGTAGGTGCATTAGGACTTAAACTCGAAAGCCATTGGCTGAAAAACACAAGTTGTCTCTCAGTTAGCTCATGTCCTTAAACGTACACTTCATAAGAAAGTCATATTCAATGAATTCGCACTTAGCACAAATCTGCATAGAATTTAAAGATTGAATGAAGATGTGATGGCTGTGTTGTCTAAATTTAAAGACCTATCACGATAAAAAGCTATACGACAGAACTGAAAAGCATAGAAGTATCTGAGGAATATTTTGAGGTATTTAGTCCAAGATTGTCCAATATCACTTTCAGGAACCTGAGAAATTTCTTCAAACGCTACAGACTCATAATTAAAATCACTACGTTGGTTCGTCTTTCCTTAAACTTGATGTAAAGAAGAAGGAGAACAAGAAGGAGGTTGTGTCGCCAGCTGAACAAGCTGCCCGAATAATTTCTATAAACAGACGAAGATTTAGATGAGAAAATGAATAAGAAAACCAAAGACTGATTGTTAGTAAATACTTTGAAGTTTAAGACAAACCATAATCTATATTCCTAACCATATTCAGTGTGGGTTAGTGTGAATCCTCTCGCGCATTTTGCAAGAGCTTTTGTGTCTTCACTCTAAGCGTTACCACCTTTAGGACTACTTCACTAAATAGCCGCCTGTTTATGCAGTAGAACTGAAAACAACACCCAAACTGACGTCGAAAGCGGTTCCGAGAGGTGCGACAAAATAAGCAATTGGAATATTCACAAACTGAGAGACAAACAGAGTAACATCTTCTTGTTGCCGTTTGAATAAACAAAGTATAATGCTACTAATTGTTAGACAGGGAGGGAGAGGGTAGAAAGGAAAAAAACATGTGTAAAAATCAATATGAGGTTGGATTACTACCAACAAGAAACAGGTGTTCTTTTCCTTTTTTTCTCTATCTAACATTTTTCTTACCTTAAGTGAGTCTAAGAAATATTGAAAAATAAGTAGAGGAAAGTCACATGGATCCCACAATTGATGATTATCCAAATGTCTAAAAAGGAGAAAAAGAAAGGAAAAGATAGAACACAATTGGTGAAAAGAAATGTGAAATTACAATACTACATAGAGCATTATTACATAAGACCCATCAAACTTAACACACCTATAAAGGGATAACTTATGCAGAAAATGAACCACTCAACACAATTCCCTGAACCTTTAGATGAACCTGCATTCATGTAAGTATTCTCAAGATGTTAGATGGTTGGAGGCAATCGGTAGGAAGCCTTGGACTTAGGTTTCATGTTGTTGGTAGTCGTCAGCGAGGCGTGTCTGTGACTTTGAAGGACTAGAAACATTACACTAGTTACTAATTAGTGTCCAATGAAAGTATTCTTAAGATATTGTAAATGAGAGTTTTGAATTATTAAAAAAACGCATGTGCGTCGGTGGCGTAGCGGTTAGGACGCTCGCCGACCATGCACATGGTCCGGGGTTCGATCCCTGACCGACGCACTCCTTTACCTCACTAAGCCAGTAATAAAAAGCTGCTAAAGAGAGAAGGTTAGGCATGAGGCCAGCAACCCCATCCTGTAAAAATAAACACTGTTACAGAAACTTCAAGCCTTCTAGCTAATCTAGGTAATCTTTTAAACCCACGCTGTAGACTTCATATTGTAGCATTTGAAGTTGGGGCCTTTTGTCAAATCGGACAACAGGCTTCACCAGCCAGAACACAAGCATCTAGAGCCATGAATGTATGTTGTGTTTCAGGGACACGCACACAAGACTCAAGTCTGGTTATTCGTTTAACCCCATCTGGCCAATAGGGTAAATCTCAAAAATTCACTTACGAGAGTCAGGAGATTTTTTGAATATTCCGTGAGGACTTGCAGGTGTAGGGATAGCATTGAATAGTAGGATGGAAAAATGCCTACTTGGGTGAATCCCAATGCATAGACGCATGTGTGATTTCGGACTGAAAAGACCCGTTAGAAGGAACCATTGCGATGCCCTCGGTATCTTTTCATAATCCACGCATGGGCCTAAAACGGACTGCAGCTTGGAAAAACTAAACGAGTTTTATTTTAGCTGTCTAGTTCGCTGCGAAAAGCAAAGCGCTCAGATATAGTGACTCTAGCAGATGACTTTAATGCCTAAGTAGGGAAACTGTTTCATTCAGGAAAGTATATTTGCGGCGGAGTTCCATGCCGGCGAACCAACAACGGTGGTCATCTTTTACAGTTCTGTTAGGATAATCATTTGTTCCTCGTAAGCACATAGAGGGATACTCTCTAACCTGGTGACCTCCATCATCGAATCAACAGCGTACTCAAATAAAACACTTAGCGATAAACTAGCGATGGAGATGGTCCATAGCAAACGATCACCGCACTCTGAACGCGGTAACACCCCTGTTTATGTACTTATATGCCAACGATTGGACGGGAAACAGACAGCTATGAAGCCAATACCCTCCTCCCAACTTGATCAGAACACTAAATGCCTCTTCATAGAAGAAACAGCTACACGCATGTCTGAGAGTAATAGCAAGACTCCAACTGAAGAAATCTGACATAAAATCCGATCAACTGTAGAAACAGTGGTAAAGTCTGTTGTAACCTATGGCTAAAGGTTGGTATATGCCAGTGGGTTTCTGCTACTTCATCCGAACTGATTGACCCAAGAAGAGTGATTCCAGTAGGCTTCAAACAAGAAGAGAGAAAGCTTCTCAAACACTAACTGACAAAAAGCTTTCACAAATACTGTGAGTAGTGGTGGGTAACAAAAGCTAAAAAAAATGGAAAAGGTATCGGCAATGGGCAACATCAGACAAATACTTATGTTTATCAGGGAAACAGGCTGCAAAAGTTAAGTGAGAAGTAAGACAATCTCTGAGAAAAAAGACACCCTAGTTAGCTCTCAGGAAAAGCGAAATTGTAGGGGACATTCTGAGAAACAATTTCACTGGCCTAAAGCCACGTTCAGCTTTTCCAGAACCTTCTTGAATGGGATATAGACACCGGTCCGCCACCCGTAACTGAGGTTACAAAGTCTGTCTCTAATTTGAAACGAGGCGAAGAGGAAAAGTCTCGTAGGTCTCCATAGGTGTTTAAGGACGATAGTGACGAACTAGTGTCTGGGTTGACTAAGGTATTAGTCAATGTTTGGGAGTCAGAATTAGTTCCACTAGACCCGTGTAAATCGTTTATTATCCCAGTTTGTACGAAGGAGCACAAGTCTTCCTGCGATTATCATAGAGGGATAAGCTTGAATAACATGGCATTTAGAACTGTAGGTTCAATAACCATGTACAGACTAAGTGGTGCTCAAGAGAAACAAAGTCAAGAAAACCAGACAGGCTTCAGACCAGAAAAAGGGCTATAGATCATACCTCCACCCTTCGACAGATTCTAAAACAGAGGCGTGCTAACCAGCGTCCAAGAGTTGCTATAATTTTTGGCCTGAAGGTGGTATTCGACTTTGGTGACGGCGAGGTGCTGTGGCAATGTTTGGCCATGCCAATAAAGGCACTCTACTGGAACTCATGCAATGGTGCAAGAGCCTATGGAGATTTGCCATCCCAAATGATGACTACCACTGCTGTCAGTCAAGGATGACTACTATTTCCAATTTTGTACAATTTAATCACAGTTGTAGTAATGGAATTGACCCTAGCTGACTTAAGCGACTCAGGAATTGACCTCTTTCCGGTCTTGTTGACTTGAAGTACGATTAATCTTTTGTCCTTTTAGGTGAAGACGCTAACAAAATGAAGAGTCCTCTGAACACCTTGAGGAACAACCTTACGATGTTTGGCATGCGATTAGCTCCTGCTGTCAAATGTAAGATGATGCTACGGGACTGGACTATACTGGCTCCTAGGTTAGAGATAGGGAGTAAAGTGGTTGGTGCAGCGTTCTGACCACTTCACCTATTTGGTAGGTTGGATCAGTCCCAACGGTTTGATTACTGTCGAAATCTCAGCAGGGATACAGAAGACTCGTTTGGCATATGCTTGCCAGTTAACGCCACCTCTGGCTTAGTAAACGTCAATATCCAGCTGTCGACCAAAGGGCGTGCGTACTGCTCAGCAGTTAGCTCCATCCACATTTATAGACGGGAGACATGGCCGCCGAAGAGGCTAGCTCTCTTTAATCACAGATGTTTGCGTTCCATCTACCATATTAAGCGGTGTAATACAGTCAGTAATACTGAGGCTAAACATAGAATGTTGTCACTGTAGTAATCTCAATATGATAATATTATCAAGAGTAGTGTCAATTACTATCCTTCTTAATCTTAAATCCCTTAGTATATTGCTTGCTTCATTTTCCACATAAACTGAAGTGAAAAACGCAGGAATTTGTCTAATTCCTTTACTGTCGCTGGGTCCTTGGGGTGAAAAAGAAATATGTGGTTTAACTGGTCGGAATATATTCCGTAAGTACATCGAATTTGCAGATAAACTGCGTCTTTTAATAATACAGTTCAAAAATCTTTACTTTTCATTTCAAACTTGACTGTTATAGCAGCTAGGCTAGCAGCCTGCTCTCACCACAATAGTACATAATGATCGGCCTCTACCAATTACTGAATTCCTAAATTAAGTTCAAGCCAAGAATGTGATAAAAGGTGATTGCTTTGCCAAGAGCATGGCAACGCGTTCAACTGCCATAGTACATATATATCACTAATTAGTTTGCCAGTTTAATATGGCTGTCTAACAAATGCATTAACAGCAACCTTAGAAATTTGGTAGGTTGTACGTTAAGCAATCAGTCACCATGTTGTATCTTAATAGTTTGTGTTTTGTGTGAACTCTTGATCAACTTTGTTGTCTATATGTTAGTTACTATGGTGATGTGTCGTAACGACTAGCCACTTCTAGTTTGATGTTATTATTCGTGTTTACATCAAATGTTTGGAATTGGACATTTTTTTGCGTTAGATTTTTGGTTGATGACTTTTTTAAATTTCATCTTACAGCACTTTCCTATAAGACCTTTGTACATAAGCGACTAGTGCGACAACGCTGCTTGGACAGATAAGACTTCTTCACCAAGTGTTAGCACCAACAACCTTGCAAACAAGATGACGACGGCTTACGGCAGCTATCACCTGGCTTGTCACAGGTGACTTCCTACCTTCTAAGTAACATTATAAGAATTAATATTATTCGCAACCATATTAATATTGTACTTTAGTTTAATTATTGATGATTATAATAAATAATGATAGAAATTTTAATAAAAATAAAACATTCAAAGTAATCTTGTGTAATAGATAGTAGTCATATTAGCAGTTTTTATAACAACGGTTATCCTTCGCCTCATACTCGCATGAATCTTTCACAACTTTCAGACGATTGAATCGCTGGCACTTAAACAGTGAAGCGTTTTTTCCTCACAATATCCATAATACTGTACACCTTTAGTCCAAAATTATATTGTTCAAGATTCTTTAGACAAAATGAGATTTATGCGTCTGTTACATCCTGAAACTGATCAGTACCTTTCATAAATTACTTACCATTTCATGATCATCGTGTTGAACAATATAGATCTGTACAATATAGATTATGATTAAAATTTAACTTGTGGATGGTGACTAGCAGTGGAATCCAGGATGCGCATTTCGTCCTATTTGAGGCTCGTCATCTGGATGTACCAGCATTTGCCAGTGACTGATGATTTTCCCACCGAAGCTCGAACCCAGTGACCACAGTTTCAAACGCCAAAGCGTTATCCAGCCGACATGTCAACCTGAGACCGAGCACTTCGGTCCAATCAATCGACGGGAAAAAATCTCAAATTCAATAAGATAGATTATGATTGTTTAGGGCTTTTTATAGAAGATTTTTAAGTATAATTTTCCCTTTTTTGATAAGTTGAAATTATTCTACAGAAATTACTGACCGATTCCCACTTTGGAAGTTAGCTAATACGTTTGGATGTTATATGTAAAGTGGTCACCTGGTCAACTTAAATTTCTCACTAGCTTCTAATAAATTTAGGCAGTTCTTAAGGATGTATTGAATATGGGTCAATTATATGTAATTAAGTATCATCGTATCAAATAATTGAATTTTTTAAAGTACAAGGATCAAATCAAAGATACTCAATAATGTGAATTTTTGTGACAAAACACAGAATATAAATTATGAACTTGAATACAACGACAATAAAACTATTTGTGATCAAGTCTTGCTTTGCAGGGATTTAAGTGATTACATGTTTGACATCAATCAGAGAAACATTGGAAAACCAGGAAGTAGTGGACACTTGTTTCGTCCTCTTTTCAGACTCCTCATCAGCACACACATCCAGGGTTTGAACTCACGATCTTTAGGTTACAAGAAAGGCTCGTAGATCATTTAGCCACTGGGGCTCGACCCAACAGCCAAATTCATACCGGTTGGCTAAGTTAGATTAACTAATTAATTAATTTTGTGTATATTTTACAATTTCATGAGAAACAGGATATTTAGGGAAAACCAAACAAAATATGTGAAGGAAGATGACCAAAAATACAACAAACAGAAGTACTTTTTTTCCAAATGCTGTTATCGTCATTTGATTATCACTTGGTTTTACAGGCTTCTTATGACAGCTGGCAAACGCACACATACACACAGGTACACTTAAACCTGGGCATATCCTTTTTATCGTGAGGGGTCTCAGTTGATTTCATACATAGTGATATGCAATGGCGCCTAGGTCCTGTAACATATATTGTAAGTCTCAGGTGATTCGTTTATTTCATTGGGGGCTAGTGAGTAATCCCATAAAACTTTACGACAAATCAAATATAAGACAGACTTCTCATTTTACTCAGACTGTTTTTCATAAGTCTAACGAATATCGTATGCTTATTTTCTATGCTGATAAGACTGTGTAAGGACTGAGTCAATAAATTGATGTTGTAAGGGGATGATGAATAAAATCTGGGTAGCCCTAAACTTCCAATTAAAGTTCTTTTCCTGTTCAAATAGTCACTGTCCATAAGTCGTATATATCTGTCTACTGTAACGCCGTACTGCAATCCGAATGCCCTCCCCTCACATATCATGTCATTTAGTTCAATGATTATACTGCCATGTTTCATCGATCATATAAATTTAGTCAACGAATTAAGACTTGAAGACTACACATCATAAAATCATCCAATGATGCTAACGAGTATGCTCTCTAATAACTTATATATCCAATTTACAGGACTGCTATTGCAAGGGATCTAGGCAGTTCAACAAATTTGATTTGGTGTATATAACTCTACACGAATTATGTTATGCAAGTTATACTAGAAAAGGAAATAATCAGATTAAACGTGCAGATAATATTATAATATAATAATTTTGGTATAGTGAAATGAGAAAAGACAGAATCTTGGGTGTATCATTTATCCCATGTGTACGGGTATGAGCATTAAATTTAGTTGCCAACATTTCGTTTGTCGGTAATTTTTGTTTTTGTTGTTGTTTTCTTTAAATGCTAACTGTTTTGTTTGCTACAGGTTTATCTAAGTATACAAGACCAGACGATTATTATTAACTGCTTCAATGGTTACAGGCTGTTCAACCAACCCGAAAAAACACTTAATCTACTACCCATAGTTAAACAGCAATTCTTTATAAATTGAATTGGCTGAAAAATGTTACAGCTTTCGAGTCAATACCCTTTGCAAAAAACAATATTAGTTGAAGTTGGGTCGCGTTGAAGGGAAATTAGGTTTGAAAATACCAAAATATGACATCAGTTTATCAACTCATTGGCTGTCGGTTTGAGTTACATAAGTAGATAGGTAGGTGTGTAGAGTTCTCTAGATGCAAAGAACAAATGATTAGAGAAATCGCAAAACGGCTGAGAGTTGTCGCCAAATTATCACCTTGTACTCATCTCATTTACCACAATTTGTTGTATTATTCTTTATCCCACAGACATCATTGTTCACTGTTGTATAATTTCATTTTTTCTCTCTTCTTTGTGTGCCTTTCAAAAGCGAACTGATCTACATTAGTGTGAAATTATTCTACGCTGATTCTTGCGTAAATTAGGATCGACGGACCTCATTTTCATCATATAAAGCGTAGTTCATAAAGAAATCAAGTTATCTTATACACTACGGGTCAGAGTCTATGCCATGCTACACTACAAGAGAGTAAGTTCAAAACATTGGGGTACTTTAAAGTAATTAAATAAAGTCCCAAATTTTCTACTTTCCAGACCGTGTTTTAGATGAAAAGGGAACTTGTGTTTCATTTTATAAATAAACACTTGCCATTTTGTTTGAAACGATGACGTTGAACATTTTATCCAGCTACAATATTATCTTATGAAATAAAAAAATCAGGATGCATCGAAATGTACTCAAGACCTTAATACGCAACTTTTTCAAACAGCTGTCAGCTAAGTGCGTGTAATAGACTAGGTCGAATGCATATCTAGTTCACTGGATTAGAGAGTCGAAGCAAAATCATGAGTAACTCGTTTACTTTTAAACAACCTTCAACTGTTAGTTAGTGAGACAAATACAAACTATGAATAACCTTCATGCTGCTAGTACTGGCAGTCAATAGTTGTTAATGTGTATCGAACTGTTATATTGGACTACCACATTATATATGCATAAACCTGAATTTGCTATTAAAAAGTTTTATGAGTATGAAATAAAGAATAAAAACCACTGACAATTAAAAGAAGTCAAGAGGTTGTACATTTGTATTCTAAATCATCGTAAGCACACTAGAAATGGCATGTTAAAAAAAGATTCATTGTGGAAATTCACAGACACACACAAACACATACTTTCAGATACAATTACTCACGTCAATATTGAAGTCACTACCGGTTTGATATTTGTGTAGGAAGCTTGACGGACAATATCTTCAAAGACATACACAGCTTCTTGTGAAGGATCACACTGTGATTCAACTGAATCGGAATCCATTTCAGACCTTTAGAAAAAAAATATAATTAAATGGAAAATGTTATTTTTCCCTTTAGTGAAAATCAAAGTGCATAAAACACTGTCTATTATTATTATTATAATCATGCTAGATTCGATTCCCAGTGAACGCATTCCTAATCCTCACCTACACGGAAGCTAGCCTGGAAAAGAGGGAAGGTTGAGTGTGATGCTAGGAACCCCACCCCGAAAAAATGCTCTGCTGAAACCTCAAATCTTATATTTTAAGCCATGAGTTTCACTCAGAACACAGATGGAAAATAAGATACAACCTTGGATAAAATTGTGTTTTGTGTAGGACTATACAAAACGCTGAGCATCCATTAAACATTTGATAGGATTGGCAGTTATCCCGCAAAATGTAATTATAATATGGGAAGAGAAGTAAAGCATCACTCGGTCATGAAACTAATTACATTAAAAAAAGCACGATCTATTCATAATGTACTAATAATATTGCGTCAATTGTGGTGACAGGGTTAAACTTAACTACTACTCAACAACACTGACATGATTATCGCCTAATATATAGTACTACCCTGAACTAGAAGAACAATTAGCAAGTTTAATGCAATAAAGCTATAGAAAGATTGAAACCAGAAACTGCCGAACCAACAGGAAAATGTCCTTACACAAAGCCATGAATTTCAGTCGTTGGACACTTCTTAATTCCACCTTGATTAACAAGAATTTACACACCTGTCATGTCCGTGTTTAATATATAGTCTTCCGTTAATCATTATCATGCTAAATATCCATTTACTTTCTTTTCAACCCCAGTCAAACTGTGCTGAGTTAGAGATGAGTAATCGAAATGACATCTAGTTGTGTAGCTACATCAATAATGTTGAACGGTTGGTTAACTGTGGCATGTTTATGGCAGCTAAGTGAAGTCTAATCTGCAGCCGGGTCTCATAACTTAGTTATATACAACGCGAAGCCAGTAATCTGGAACCACGAGTTTGAATCATTTTGCAATCTAAAGTTTTTGTCCCAGCTTGAGCTATAAACACGTTACATAAACATACATTTGTCAAATTAAGACTATCTCAGTTCGATTCAACAAAATGCTTACATGTAGATATATTAAGAGATAATTTAAATGCTTAGGTAAGGAATTTGAAATAGTAAAACATGTTGAGCGTATCTATAGTGTGCCATACCAACAAAATGATGAAGATGGTGGGTAGCCTCATACGACTTTATTATAGTAATCACATGTTTCTAGTCAGCAAACTTGAAACCTAATAGCAAACATGATCCTACCTGCTGAAGTTGGAACCAGATTGACAGCAAACAGGTAAAAAACAAGTTACTGGGGAGCAACTACGTAATTAGCTTGTCGATAAAAAAATTCATGGCTGACTTGAATAAGCATTTATGTGATGATGGAACCGATATCTTAAAAATGTCGAATATTATATCCAGTCTGATTAAGAAACAGCATCCAAGATAGTTAAAAACCTGTATTCGAAGGTTAGCAAAAGGCAATAGATCTCTGAAGCCTAATGTGAAGTGATTAATATAAGAAGCCTGGTACCCACAAGCTAAGAATATAACGGAATGATTCAGTTGCTAAAGTGTGAGTTGGTTAAATGTCTGCGCATGAGCACAAGTGATGGTGGGGGGAGACAAAAGTAGAAAACCCCGCAGCAGGTCGAGTGTGAGGACAAATACTCGCCGAAGACATTGGCTAGGGGTCGCGCTATGTCGTGCATTGGCAAAAGTTAGAATTCATGGGCTGGCCATTGGATCGGGTCCCAGTGGCTTAATGGCATATGAGCTCGCCTTGTAACCAGAAGGTCCTGGGTTGGAACCCCGGTGAGTGCGTACTACTGGAGAGTTCCAAACTAGGACGAAACAGCTGTCCAGTACTCCCAGGTTTCCCAATGGTTCTCTAACTAATTTCAGCTCATGACGAAATCCTATATAATTTTTTTAATTGGATCTGTTGGGGGGTCCTTAAGCCGACAAAATCTCTGAGAGAGTTGGTTGATCGGTTGGTTGGTGTGAATGCCACTGTAATTCTAGCCTCATTGAGAATACTACATAAGGCCTCTGATATTCTTTTTCTATACAACAGTACTACAGAGGCTTTGAATTATATATCTTTTGCCATCTTTTTCTGTGATTCTTTATATATTTCAGAAAAACTTCTGGTGAGTAGTTATTCACTAGTAATATTTTTTTATTTGTTTGATTTCACTATTTAGTTAAGCTCCTGGCCCGATTAAACCAAACTCATCTTTACCGATTCTAAATGGGATGAATTATAATCTAAGTACTTATTAGTGTGTCGTTTCCTTACGAATGCTAGTATCTAACCCACCATCTTGTTTTCGTTGTATTTTACAGTCTAGCATGACCAACTCACCTTGTTCGTTTCTTAACTCAGAAGTGAATCACATTACTTACATTAAGTCCTAGCAAAGTTTTGGTGTATGGAACAATCTCCAAAGAGGATGGAACTCTGATAACTTCCGAAGAGACACAACCTGTAGATTTAACAGAATACACTCAAAAGTAGTTCGAATAGACTAAAGATACAATAAGGTTTCCCATCATGCAATGCCTGCTTCAACATGTAGTAAATATCGATCCCTTGACTCCCGCTGAAACGAGTCAAGTCAGAAGTGATGATATGGCTCCAAGAATATTGGAAACTGTTGTATAATAATTAAGGAACTAGCTAATGTATAGATATCTGAAACATTCCTATCAGGCTGAAGAAAATAGTTAGACATTTTGTTTTGTAAGGAAAACAAATCTTCCTGTGACAACCACAGAGTAATCACTTTGAGAAAATGTCGTAAGGTCCTCGGTTCCGTTGTTAAACGGAAACTTAGTACGGTTGAAGAATAACAAACCTGGAGAAACTCATGTCTTCAGCTGATGAGACAACTTAATTGGTTAAGTTTTCATCCTTGAGCAGATTTAAGGAAACATAAAAATAACGGTGTTTGACTAGTGCCATATTTCTAAGTTCGACTGTCCGCCGGGAACTGTTGTGACATCGTCTCGTTGTGAAGAAAAAAACAGCTTAATCTAATTCACACAGATATGTAAAAAAGTACAAGTCATTTCGCTCTGAGGTAAATGAGACTAATAGTATTTACTTTATTTTTATTTTTGATTACAGCTTGATTCCACACCGTATTTTTGGTAAAAGTATGGAATTTTCAGCATGGATATCGGTAGCCCAAATTTTGCAGGCCGACCATAGATATCAGGTGTGAGTCGGCAGGGGATCGAACCTCGGACCATGTGCATGGTTGGCGAGAGTGCTAACCACTGTGCCACCGAGACTAATAGTATTTACCGGGAGTGCTCAATGTCACATTTTACTCAATTTTATTGCACATTTGCTTAAGGAGATGACCTTGTCTGATTTCCAACTCACACGTCATGACTTGCCAGTATTCTTGTAAAACAGGATTAATATGTCATGCATAACTTTAATATATATGTAGTTTTGTATAGGTTAACAGGTATTCTTGTCGCCTTCACAGAGAATAAATCCATGTGTTGAAGGCCTATTTTATTTTGCCCCATCCTTTTCTTTCTTTCAACTGATTTACAGTGCGTATTACATGTTACAGCTATCTCAGTTGGTGAATAATTATATATATATAACATAATTATAACTAATTACAAAAGTATGAAAAATAGATAATAATGGTCACATCTAAGCTATTCGCCGCTATCCCTAAGACAGAACAGATTACTGAGGTGTATAAATAAAACTTATTAAAGCAAAGGTAATCTATGATTAAAAGCACAGATACATCAAATGAATTCAAATTGAATTCAGCGCTGAAGACGTGAGGAAGGACGATGAAGGCTTGGCGAGTAAACTTTCCAGCTCAGAGGACACAGGAATAAAAACATACTCCTGAGCCAGAAATCTTCTCCATTATTTCATCCCCACTGTTTCAAATTTCATTTGCAAAAGCTTAAATATGAATCAATGAAGGTAATTTCACTATATTTATGCTGATTATGTTATGAACACAAACTCACAAAACCTGCCCATATAATAAATAGATGCCATTTACGACAAAGGACCCGAATCAGATAATATCCATAACATGTGTTTTGCTTATGAGGCTACCCAAATGCTTATGTTGAATTAGATGGAGAGAGATGAATTGATTAGAAGCCGATACATAAGGCTATGAAGCACACCACAACTTTTCCTCATTTAGTGTGAAAAAGCACAGCAAAGTGGGAAACTCTGATATAAATTACTTTGGCAACTGTAACAAATAACTGGGTCGGTATAAATGAGCATAAACAGAACGGAAATTATAAAACCAGGACATGTTCATGTAAAATAAAATAAAGCCGACAAAGTGTTTGTCTAAGAATAGGAAAATGTTTATTCCCAATTAAAGAACACCAGGAGTGTACAACTTTTGTCGAGGTTCGGAGTTAAATGAAATGAAACGGAGTACAAATACGTCTTTTTATCAATCACCTCGTGGACGAATCAACTAATGTTAAGTAAAATGAAACTTATTGATACAATAACTAAAAATACGTTAATATAAGGGATTAAGTGGTAACAATTCACCAAATGATCTGATGAATACAATTCTACATTACTCTAGCTGTGTATCTAATGTAAGGATTTCGGTAGACAGTATCGCGTAACGAAACTGTCATACCACAAACGCAATAGCAAAATATTCTAGACACAGAGTATAAGACCACATGGGAAATATCAACCTTTACACTAGACATTATTTTTGTGTAACTTGATATGACTAAGAGCAATAGTTTGTGCTCGAAACGTCATCAGTTAATATTACTGTACAACACTGTGTGATTTATCAAAATAAAATCTTATCCATAATGGAGTTATACAATATTTTCACTTGGGATATGAAGTAACCAGATAACCTAGCCGAACTAGTGACATGCATTTGTTTTATTATTCACAATTTCCCGTATATATATATATATATATGCATCATAAATAGCCTTCAGAGAAATCTTGAGTTTTTATTCCGTAATAAATACAAAAGAATTGGAATTAAGACACTATAAGTGTTCGACTATAGGTTTCGAAATATCTTTACGAAACTTGTGCTAAATCAAGATATGTACGTACATAAGCAATATGGCTGATTGAGCCTGCTAAAAACTATAATCGGTTTCGATATTAAATAGTACAAGTGACATAGGGAATTTATTCACATCAAATACAAACACTGCTTATTTCATCTGATCTGTGAATGTCTTAATTAGTAGCGGTGATATGCAAAAGATTTATGAAATTACCTAAGCTAGAAATTTCTAACTATCCTGACAGTGAGGATTACTGATAATACAATCACCAAGGTAGAATTAGTTGTTAAGAATAGATACTGTTCATTCTTTAAAATATTCATGCTCACAACTATTTATAAGTCTCGGTTATAACACCGTTCCTTATTTTTAATATTTCAATCCCCTTTTCCAAGTCTGAAACAGATGCTTTGAGCACTACGACTGTGAACAGAAGCCGTAGCTCAGCTCTAATACATGATGACATAAGCAAGTGCTAGACTTTCCAATCAGAATTTTTTACTTGCCGTACAGTAAAGATCCCATACACGTCAGAAAGTAAATGAAAATAAAAGCAAAATATTCTCATCGAACTCAAGTAAAAGAAAATCCGTTACTGCGTCTTTACTTGATGCCTTTAAAAACAGTCGAATTAAGTTTTCTTTTCAAAGCATACGAATATTTCAGTTTTAATGCAATGGATTTAAAATGTCACTGAGAAGCCCCCAATGGTTCTACTAAATCTCATGCATTATCTGAGGGAATGAATATCATTAAGACTGCATAGTTAAACTACTTGTATATGTATGCACACACACAGCACAGGCGATCTATTCGTCCTAGCTTCTACATTTATCATTGCAAGGATGTCCAGAAATGAACGGATACTGAGTATGAATGACACGATTGAGCGAAAACACGAGGTGTAAACTTTTATTCGTCTTCGAGTTACAGCACATCGTAAAGCCCAACCATCAGAACGAACAATGCTAACTAAGTATCCTACTTTAAGAATTAGTACAGTTTAAGAGGTACTTATTGACAGATGTCAACTTCTGACAAATATTAAAAGTGGGTAGTGACCCACTACGTATATAACACAAGCACAAAATTTTCCTCAAATGAACAAATCGCCTACTAGTATGTCAACAGCACAAACGAGAAACAAATTAAAATAGAGTAGAAAGTACATAACGAACTAAATATGAATAAAGGCGAAAACGTTAATGATCTTACTTTTCGCACATATTAAACAGAAGTGGGGGGATAATTTTATCCATATTTGACTCATGGACCTCTAACAGTAGTTGGTCACTAACCATTTTTCTAACTACTCCCTGGATTCCATGTATACCTGCCATTCTGACTCTGTAACAAAGTAAGTAGAAGGTAAAAGCAACCTACGCATTGCGTTCTTTAAGGTTGCTAAGTGACGAATGAGCCATGGAAGCGAAGTGATCCAAAATCTCATTGCATTCTTTGTGGTAGTTAGGAGCATCATCATCAATTTTAGAAAACTCCACGAACTTCAATTTTATTATTATTATTATTATATCAATTATAACATACTGACTTAGATGCCATTATTTGAAGGTCTATTCTGTTCGTCTCTAACAGGAGTTGTATCATCTTTAGAAAGCTAAAGGCTAAAACCAGCCTGTGTCCATGACAAACTTGTATCAACTTGTCGATAGCTTTGACAGATATTGTTATGTTCCTGGACTGTTATTAGTGTTTAAAAAACTTACTGGTCATAACGTCGATTAAGATCTTGAGCCAACCTTAAATGTAGGTATCTAGCGATCCGATCCAGCTTATCTGGTTGATGAAGGCAATAGTGGATAAGCTTATTATGATTATTAGTGTCCTTTAATTTTACGTCATCAATAAATGATAGCAAACCTGAAGATTCCCAGAATAAAGGTTATCAACCATTTTCATCCACTTTGGTCTGCATGGCCCACATTTAAAGCAGGCCGATCGTGCACCTATAAAATTCCTGTTGTCATACAAAAAATGACTATGAACTCTTACATAGCATCTCAAGTCCTCGTAACGCATGAATTTGTACGGGTCACATACTGTGTAGTATCTAAAATTCATTAAAACAATTCTTCCAATATCCAATATCTCTTCTGCTAGCTAGCGCAAACCGAACTGATTTCTTTTCGGTCACTTCTCAGTTGTTAGTTAAGAGTTCCTTGTCTTCAGTGAACCTCTGTGTAGTGTGTTCGGCCACTCAGGTGCCTTAAATTTACTTGACTCCAAGCGAAGTGGTACTCATTAAGTCATTTGTCACCCATCTTTGGACACTTCCTGAGCGATTGAGAAATCAGCGATATTGTGCGCCTCAAAGTATGATCCTATATATGTTTTGCATAGACTTAGAAACAGCTTGGGAGTGAGTCACCTACCTTTCTCTTCGCAGTTTCCTTCTACATGGGCCTTCACTATATCACCCGTGTAACTCAAGACTTTGTCAGTCTTTCTTGTCACAACCAGACTTAAGTCGCTCTCTGAGGTTGTATGGGACGGGTTATAATTTTGCAGGGGTAACTTACACTCTGTGGTCTATAGGTACGTAGGTACTTGGCATTCTTTATTCAAACAAAGTATAGGAAAACACTATTTTTTACACTAAATCACTGAACGTATATTGTGCTGAAGAATCAAGGTGGATGATAACATCTCTGGCAGAGGATTCACAAATACATTCAGTAGGGTAGGTTTTATGAAATCTGTTTTATGACATCATGTTATAACTGCAGTGAATTGAATGAGAATCACAGTCACTTTTTGTGTCTGCACCTGCTTCTGATTCACTGAAACCCGCAAATATCAAAAGACAAAGGCTGTCCAATGACTGCGAGATGCCGCATTGCACTGCATATTGTAATAACAACTATTGCGAAAAGGCACATGGTATTTCTACATTTTACGGCAATAAATACGTCTACAACCGTTCGTGCGTCGGTGGCACAGTGGTTAGGACTCACACCGACCATGCACATGGTCGGAGGTTCGATCCCCTGCCGACTCACACCTGATATCTATGGTCGTCCTGCAAAATTTGGGCTACCGATATCACATGCTGGAAGTTCCATACTTCTGCCAGAAAGTACTGTGTGGAGTTAAACTGTAATACAAAAAAATAATAATTGATCGTATTAGCAATCACAGTATGCGCGGTAAATTATGACGTATTATCTTACGCGATATCCTATCACATCAGCTGCTGAATCTCAATGTCACACTGTTTTTCTGAGAACAGTCATTGGGTAGGAGTAATTATTCCGTTAAAAGTTTTCTCCAGTGCTGAATTCTAACATAATTTGTCGGCAACACAGACTTCACTGGTTTTGTATACCAACATTGAAATAGACAACGTAAATGCAGAAACTTATCTGTCGACATCAAACTGCGACCAGCCAACATGAAATAAGTTCTCTCCCCAAAGCTCTAAAAAACGGAGGACGAGAAATACTACGCTAGTCCGGTTAAATACTAAGTGTTCTGAATTAAAACACGGAGTGGACACAGTACATTAGATCTCAGACCTACATATGCCCTCTATTATTAAGTGTTAGTAATTCAAAGAAATCACAGCTCTTGCTGTCAAAGATGGTGAAAACTGGATGGACTTCCAACGAACGTGTTTGTTCGAGCAGTTCCCCTGTTCGTTGGTGGCTTTGACGTTTGCTCGTTCACAAAAGACTGGAGCAATCCGATGAGAAGTATTAGTGCATATTATACTGCCGCGAATTGTAGGCTATTTTAGTATATCGATAGTAATCAGTTGTGAATCACATGCTCAAATTGCTGGGTAACTAACCTGCTATAATGATTTATACTTGGTTAATGAATTAATCTCTCACCCACATTAATTAGTCCTTTCAAATCTGGGTCCTCTAGTAGTATATAATTCCACTTATATTTGTTCACTAGATATGTTCCACAGTCAAACTGTAAACTTCACTGGATGATATTTCAAACAGAGTCTATCGTTCATAATGTTATCAGTTGTAACCTGTGTACTCCCACTCCCTGATTACTGTTCGTTCGTATTTGGTAGCCACCCACAGGGGACAGATTGAAAGTAAGAGAAGAGAGACACTCTACACTAAAATTACTCGGAACGGAGTAGGTCTAAAATCGATATGACCATGACACCTGCCACTTAATACTCTTCAGTATGTTTCTAACTACGTCTCCTAGTAGAACTCAATTTTCAGATTACAATGGCTGTGACCCAAGACGTATCAAAAGCACTGTGCATATCGAACAGTGTAAAACAGCCACCGGGTAAAAGTTCGAATTTATTCGCCCACATATTTATTATTTTATCCTTTAATTCCCAGAGGAACATAGGGCTTCAGCCGCGCGTCTCCATCGCCTTCGGTTTCCTGCCAACTTTTCCAACCCGCTCCAAGTCTGCCCACATGCTTTCATCTCCTCCTCACATGACCTCCTCCAAGTCACCCGTACACTGACGACCAACTCGCCGCTTCCCTTTCGGCCTGGTTCCACTCGAGCAATGGCTTGTCTAGTGATGTCACTTGATGGTTTCCTCAGAGTATGGCCAGCCAATCCATGTCGACTTCTTCCTGCATATTTGTTTCACAATCGGTTCCTGCTGGGTTGGTTCGCTCATTGCCAGAGATCCCTGTTGCTGATCTTTTCTGACGGCCATCTGATCTTCAGTATTGAGTGAAGACAGCTGTTGATGAAGGTCTGAAGTTTGTTTGAGATGTTCTTTATGACGCGCCAAGTCTCTGATCCGTATAGAAGCACTGACTTAACATTGGAGTTGAAAATCCAAATCTTATTTTTGATGCTGAGTGCTGTTGACCTCCACACAGACTCAAGGGTAAAGAAAGCTTGTCTGGCCTTTCCGATTCTGGCTTTGATATCCTCATCAGTTCCGTCCGCCCGTAGTTGAAACGATACTTCCCAGGTAGGTAAAGGAGGTTGTTTCTTTCAGGTTCCTCCCATTTATGCTGGCTGCTTGTTGTTTGTTGTTGTTGTCGTGTTGGTGTTGGCCAGGAATCTTCATCACCTCTGCTTTCTCTATGTTCACCTGAAGGAAGTCATATCTTCTCTGGATGCTTTTTCTGCCAACTTAATGCTTTTCACTTGCACATCTTCTAGTTTGTGGGAAATCACACATATATCATCGGCGAAGACCAGATCCTCCAAGTTCTTTGTGTGAGTTCATTTTATGCCTGTCTCCTCATTGCCCGTTGTCTGTCTCATTATCCAATCTACTGCAATCAGGAAGATCATGGCGATAGTAGACAGCCTTGCCTCACTCCTATCCTCACTTCAAAAGATTCCGTAAGTTTCCCGCTGTGGATTACTTGGCATGCAGTATTGTCGTATAACTGTTGGATGAGATGTATAATCGTCGATGGGACCCCGTAGTAGCGAAGTAGTTCCCAAACCACCTCTCGGTCGACGCTGTCGAAGGCCTTTTCAAAGTTGATGAAGTTGAGATAGAGAGGTGACTACCATTTCAAGCTTTGTTAAATGATAATCCGTAGTGTGGCGATTTGATCAACACATGACTTGTTTCTCCTAAATCCGGCCTGTTCCGGTCGAAGTTTTTCACCTATATATGATAAATAATAATATGTATTTATTCCCAATCACGTAGGAAATTACCAGTTGTTAAGGCATGGATAAGTATTATTTAAATTACATAAATTTGGTTTATGGTGAATTTAGATAGTTGCTATACTGTCTGGCTTCAGTTTGTGGGAACAGTTTGCTAACTGGTCATTAGATGGAGAGCATCAAGAAAAATACGCAAATTGTGTTCGCATTAAAAAACAACCCAAGTTCGTGTTGGGCGGATCACAAATACCTGGGGAAGAACAAAGCTTTCAGTCAATTCTCCTTTATAACTTTTCCATACTTTAGAATGCATGACCGCGGAGAAGTTTTTGCGGAGTGATTAATTAACGGCCGTTATTGCCAGTGTGCATGTTTAGTTAGACTGATTTTAAAAGCTTTGCAATGGGAATGGTATATCCTTTTTGTCTGAGAATGATACGTTGTGTAGGAGACAGTATTAGATTTATAATATGTCGTCTCAGCCAAAGTGGGTCAAGATTAAGAGTCTTACACCGTGCAATGTAGTCTTTCCTACAGTGACATCCAAGTAGTTTGGATGTGAAATGCCGCTGGATGCTTTCCACCCACAGCTTGTCATGTACGCGAAAGCTGCTAATAGTAAATGGACAGTATTCTAGTAGTGGCCTCCCCATTTTTTGCATAGAACGAGCTTGGCTTCATCGTGGTGAAATGTCTTGGGTTCGCCTCCTAAAAGCATTCTGAAATTTCGGGTCTGTGATATCACTTGTTCAGAAAATGTTGCGTCACTAGAGTAACTCAGGCCTAAGTCAACAACACTTCCGTGTCTGTGTAAGTTAGCAGATTGAAACGGTAATTCTAGGTCGACTGAAGGTTTGCCAAAGCAGATACAGCCAAACTTGTTCCGAATGAATTGCAGGTTCCATAAACATGACCAGACGGTCACACTCTCTAATATAATCTCCGAATTTCTCTAGGTAAGATAGAGAAGATTTGTAGCTCAGGTGGATGATTTTGATGTGGATTTATTCTCCGAGCTGGATAGTTAATTTGCGAAGCTTCCATCACCTTACTGGGTGACATCTTCAGCGCATACTTCAATTTGAAGTGAGCTTTTAGATTTCTCCACGAGTTTATTAATCATCTCTCCTGGTGACCTTGAACGTGATTGGTTGTTTATGTGTGTTTTCACATCTTCTAGGTTACTTGTATTGGAACTGACTGTTTCTTTGACTTGAACTTTGACGCTTTGTGTGTGAAGTTTCTTTCTTATTGGTTGATAAATTTTGTCTATCTCGATGTGTCCATTGATTGATGATTCACTGGAATGCCAAGCTTCTAAAAATTCTCTAGCATTCTTGTTGTTTCCTCTGTCTAATATTTGAACGTTGTCCCAGTCGAATTGATGTCCGTGGTTGTCTGTGTGTAATGAAATGAGGGAGTGTATATCATGTCTTTTGACGGCTAACTTATGTTCGTGGATACGAAGACGAAG